CGCCCCCTGCCCCCCGCCGAGGCAACCACCCTTCTTTCTGATCGTTACAGGTTTCTTGCTCAGTGATGTGTTTATTCCCGGACACTCTGCTGTTGAGCCTCAGCCCTTTCCGGCCTTCACAAGGGGGTGTGTGCTGGTCTCCCTCGTTCCGTGTTGACTGGAGGTTCACAGACGGCGCTGGTGGGGCCGTACCCGCCATCCAAGCTGCCTAATGGCATCCGTTGCGTGTGTGCTCATCGGTGGACTTGGGCTTGTTTCTGTCTTTCTGCCATTATGAATAAAGCTGCCCTGAGTTTCCTACACACACCTCTTACTCCAGATGTGCAGGAGCTTCTTAAACCCAGAAGTACGTGTCCAGGTTGTGGGGTTCTGCCCCTGCTGGGTAACCCCAAGGCTGTTTCTGAGCGGTTCCACCAGTCGTGCACTCGAGCTCCTGTTACTCCACATCCTCTCCTGGAATGTTCTTGCTTTTTAATTTTTGCCAATTTTGTGGCATCGAAATGGTGTCTCTTGGTGGTCTTAATTTGCTGATAAGATGCGCATCTGTTACTATGTTTGTGATCCATTTGTGTTTCCCTTTCTGTGGAATACCTTTTTGTATCTTTGGCTATTTTTCTATTTAAAACAGTTGTTTGTCTTTTTCTTACTGATTTAGGGAAGTTTTTTTTTGTATTTCTGGATTTCTTCTAATTTGTGGGGTTTTTCTTCCCTTTTGTCATCTTTTGATGAACAAATGTTCTTCATTGATGAATTAAACTCTATTACGTTATTGAGTACAGACAGTCCCAGACTTACAGTCATTTGACTTAGGAAGGATTTTTGACTTAACGATGGTGTGAAAGCAGTGTACATTCAATAGAAACAGTACTTTGAATGTTGAATTTTGGATTTTTATCTTTTTCCTGGGCTAGTGATATGTGGTCCAGTTCTCTCCTGTGATGCTGGGCAGGGCAGCCACAGCTCCCCATCCGCCACACGACCAGAAAGGTGAACGACTGATGCACTGACAGCCATTCTTGACCAAGACAGCCAGCCGCTCTGCTTTTCCTTTTCAAAAGATTACTGTTAATTAAAGAAACCAGGGATCTTAAGTTAATGAATTTAGCGCTTTTCTGTATACGGGAAGAAGCAAAGTCTGGGCTCACTGAAATCATTTGTTTGATCTGTACCTCCTCTGCCTGGGGCCAGCACCCTGTGCTTTCCCATCCTGAGCCCACTCAGAGCTCACTGTCTGGGCAGCTGTGGTGGCTTGATGGCTGCAACATCCTTTGTTTACTGATATGGCAGGTGACCCTTTTCATTCACAGGTGTATTAAATGCATTTCCTTTTTTAAAAAATTAATTATTTATTTTTGGCTGCGTTGGGTCTTCATTGTTGGTGAGCGGGGGCTGCTCTTGTTGCAGTGCATGGGCTTCTCATTGCAGCGGCTTCTTTTGTTGTGGAGTGCGGGCTGTAGGCACACGGGCTTCAGTAGTTGTGGCATGCGGGCTCAGTAGTTGTGGCTCACGGGCTCTAGAGCGCAGGCTCAGTAGCTGTGGTACATGAGCCCAGCCACTCCGCGGCACGTGGGACCAGGGCTCAAACCCGTGTCTCCTGCGTTGGCAGGCGGATTCTTAACCACTGTGCCACCAGGGAGGTCCTTAAATGCATTTTTGATGTATGGTATTTGCAGTTTAGGATGGGTGTCTTGGGATGTAACCCCATTGTAAGTGGAGGAAGGTTTGATAGGAATGCAGATGAGGGAGCAGGGCCGGCAGAGGGAAGGGTCTGCCATCCGCCAGCCCCACGCTGGCCTCTGGGGCCGCCCCAGCCTCGAGCCATCCGGGCATGCAGTTCATCTTCTGTGTCTCTTTTGTCCATTTCTTGGTCATTGTTTGCCATCTTGAAACTTGCCATTCTCTGTTTACTTATTCCATTTTCTTTCATTTTACCAGCGACCTGTATGGCCCAGTGGTTTATAGGAGCTACACTTTTTTCCCAAGTTCCCTCTATGCACAGCATTGAAACTGTTTTCTATTCCTTTTGTTCTCTTCAGTAAATTGGTTTCAAAATTACACCCTTCTTTTTCCTCTGGCCTGTGTTTTGTGTGCTTTATGGGCTCCACGCTGGTGTCCCATCATCCGTTTTCTCCATCCCACAAACCACAGACCTGCTGTTGGATAAAGAAAGTTCCTTACAGAAACTTATTTTTAACTAAATTGTCTTAACTAAAGCTTTAACAATTTTTCTTCAACAGCTAAAAGACCAGATTTTATCCTTAAGTCGTGAGATAGAAGAGCGCCATTCCGAACTGGAGAGGCTTCAGCAAAGGCGGGAAAGGGAGAACCAGGAGGAAACAGCTCTCATCTCAATGCTCAAGTCCGACATCGACCTGTCCCACGGCGAGAGGTCAGTGGCCGCCTCTGCTTCTCGGGCTGGAGTGCATGTTGGCACCTGGTGGATGGGACCCTGTGCTGCATGGTCCTCTCATCCAGGGGGGCCTTAAACTTCAAGATGAGCGCTGAGTCGTGGCACCCACATACCCACCACCTCGCTTTGCCAAACCTTCCCATTTTGCCAGGTTACAAGATTTGATGCTGCTATGAAGGCAGTTACCGACCCGTCCCTTTTCTTGTTTGTTTGGGAGTCTTACTTAGGAAATAGTTTCCCACCTAGCGCTAGGCAGGTTTTAGCTCTGCTTCTCGTGTGCTTCTGGAGTGAGCTGTTCAGTTGTGTTTGCCTGATGTCAGGAGACGCTCTCATCTTTGCCTGTCGGGGCCATTGGCTCAGCATCGCCCGGGAAGGTGCAGCTCACTGGCCGGCCTCTCTGGGCCCCTTTGTGCATCTCTTGGCCTGTCCCTGCCGGTATCTCGTGGTCCTGCTGGTCTGGGGTCCCCGCTGCCCCTGGACCCTCGTCCTCAGCAGCGCGGCGCTACCGTATATGCGGCGCTGAGGGTCAGAGGAGGCGGGGGGAGGGCTGCTGTGCGGAGGGTGGGTGCCGCTCACGTGGGCTCCGTCTCTCCGTTCATGCTTTCACGGCTTCGTTATCTCTGCGAGGACCTTGTGTGCTGTGCCCAGCTGCCTTGCGGCTCGATGAGGGGAGTGCAGGGCAGGACGTGTCAGGCCTGGCACTGCCCTCGGGGGGCTGGCAGAGAGCAAAGGCCCCGAGGCGTTCGGGGGGCATGCCCGGCAGGTGAGATGCCCCAACACCCACGAGTGTTTGGCGTTCATGAGGCTCCTCAGGGACCAGGGGTCGGCATGGCCTGGACGGGGCCCAAGGAGGAGTGGGGGGCTGGGGCCTTCTGGCATTTTCTCTCAGAACAAAGCAGACACCGCCTGCCGGAGCCCGTCTGGGGGTGGTCCTTACGCCCTCCCCGCACGCTCCCTCCGAGGGCCCTGGGCAGCAGCAAGGGCTGTCGGGCCCGCCGTTCGCAGTCTGCCCCCACCTGCCCCCGCCCCTCACGTCCCCGCGTCCCTTTCTCACTGTCTCTGGCCCTGACCTGGGGTGTCAGCTTCCTGAGGGGCGGCTCTTGCCGTGTCTTGAGTGGCGTTTCCCTGTGCTGGGCCCGAGGGAGGGGTGTGAGCCGCGGGCGGATGGGGCTGGCCAAGCCCTGACGTCTTGTGGGCACCGGAGCCACGGCCTGGGCAGGGTCACCGTGCCCCAGCTGATGCCCCCAGCTGGAAGGGCTGGTCTGGGAGGATGCGGCTCAGAGACAGGACTCCTGTCCTAGGGGAACCAAACACCCCAAACTCTGTGTTTGTGTGGCCCCAGAGAGAGACACGGGGAGACACGGCGCCTTCTTGTGCTGGTGGGCTGTGGGCAAGGGGTGACCTGGGCGTTTGAGCCGGTGTCTCCTGAGAGGATGGGGCCTCAGGGGCCACGTCGGCGCCCAGCTGTGCTCCTGAGTGCCAGAGAGGCTGTGGTGGCGGGCAGGCTGGGTCTGTGCAGCTCGTGGTGGTGCCGCTGCGGGCAGAGCAGCTGGGAGGGGGTCCCGGCTGAAGCCCCCGTGCTGGGCTGGGCGCAGGCCTCCAGGAGAGGGACACTCAGGTCGCCCACGGTGCTGCTCGCGTGCGGTCAGCCGGGCGGGGTCTCGGCTGACACTGCCCGCGTGTGCCCCTCTCAGGAGAGCTCTCCAGGACGCCCTGAGGAGGCTGCTGGGCCTGTTTGGGGAGACGCTCAAGGCCACCGTTGCCCTGAAGAGCCGCATCGGCGAGCGCGTGGGGCTCTGCCTGGAGGACGAGAGCCCGCCGGCAGGTGAGTGCCGACAGCCCTGTGCCCTCAGCCCCCAGCCTGGGCGCCGGGGGTCTTCTTGGCAGCGTGGCTCCTGTGTCTGCTCGCCTGTAGCCCCAGCCCTGGACGAGGTGTGGCCCGGGCTCGACGCGGCCCTGCCGGAGCTGGACAGCACGTCACCCGAGTGTGCCGAGACGTCGTCAGTGGCTGAGATCAGCAGCCGTGTCTGTGAGAGTTTCTTCATGAGCCCAGAAAGCACGGTGGAGTATGAGCGGCCTGTCAGGAGGGCCTACCGGAGCCTGGGCCTGGCGGTGGACGGCCTGCTGGAGATGGTCCTGGACTCCAGCAGGCAGGTGAGGCACGGCCCCTCGGCCTCTCTGCAGAGGAGGGTGACAGGCTGAAGGAGTGGGCGGGGGGCTGGTGGGTGACGGAGGCTGCCTGGTGGTGACAGCGCAGCCCCAGGTGCCTGCGGGTGCTGGGCACTCAAGGGTTTCTGATCCTGCACCAGACCGTGCGGGCGAGACCGAGGTTTCCCCTCTCCAGGCGGGTCTGACTTCTTTCTCTCCTCTCTCTGCCGGGTGTCGCCCTGAGCCTGTACCTTCCAGGGAGGTTCACCCACATGTTTTCCTCAAATAGGAGTCTTTTCTGAGCCGAAATTCTTGGGGAAGTAGGCTTGCTGTGAATGAAAAGTAAAACCTCAGTGCACTTAATTTAGATCACGTGTGTTCAGCCTCTTTTACTGCACCTTGTACACCATTTTAATTCCGTTTTGAATACACTTATGTTTAGAGGTTATTACTGAAGACGGGAATTTGTTAACCTTTTAGAATGTTTCAGACAATCAGCACAGACATTAAGTAGGAAAACTTGGAAAGCAATAGAGAGCCTTTTCCCAAAGTTGCCCAGTTAAAAAGGAAAAGCATTTTCACGTGAAGCACCGCTGTCCACGTCTCAGAAATACTGAGACGCGAGTGCAGGTGGAGCCACAGTGTCGAGCTCTGAAGTTTCTCCTCTGGTTTCGTCCCGTCTTCTCTCAGGAACCGGACAGAGTTGGGCAGCATCTTATGATAAATAATCAGGTGTTTTTGATTGTCCCTAAGCGCAGTTAACGGAACAGACGCCGTCTGGTCTGCAGTCTGACCTGGCCCGCGGCCCTGCGTCCCCACTGCCCCCACTGTGTGCTCTGCAGGGGCACCTGGGTGTGTAAGCGGGGAAGCAGGGGAGGGAGGTGGGAGTTGACACAGGCAGCGGCCAGAGGGGCGCGAGGAGCCCCTGTTCAGGTCGGGGTCAGTGGTGGGGCTGCCCGAGGGGCAGCGGCCACCGAGAACTCAGGCAGGCGGCCCACAGCAGGGCATGAGGAGAGGTGGCACCAGGGGCTGTTTTCAAGGTAAAACCAACAGGTTTCCTTAGAGGCTGGGTCTGGAAGGGTCAGAGTTGGTTACACGCAGGGGAAGGCTGAGGGGGCCCGGGCCAGGTGCCGAGTTGTCGGTCAGGACAGCTGGCTGTAGGCGTTTTGAATTCAGAGATTAATCTGGGCCCTCCAGGCTGTGGGTGGCCTGGGGGCTTCAGCCTGGACATGCCCACCAGGGGAGCTCGGGAGGAAGGTGAGGTTGGGGCCCCGGGCTGTGCCTGGGAAGGGGGGCGTCCCGTGGTGTCCGACCTGGGGAGGGAGGGTCGTGTCAGGTGCCCTGCCCGGTGTGGTGATGGCCCAGGAGCCTTTCCCCATCCTCCACCTGCAGTCACCAGGGGGCCTGTCCCTGCCCGGGTGCCAGGCTCCTGTCCGTGTGTCCTCTGAAATGACCCCCCCCTCCGCCATGTTCCACACGGACACATGTGGGGTCGGCGGTCACAAACGGTGTGTCCGTGCAGTGTTGTCTGTGTCTCTGTGTGCAGAACTTTCCTTTTTGGAAAATTTGTTGCTTATTTAGTAACTGACATAACATTGAACATGGAAATTGCTGTTTCTTACAGGATATTTATGGTTTCCCCAGAATTCGACACAAATAGAACTCTGTTGGTGTCAGTATAAGCTTTGATTACTTTTGGTCCAAAATGCCATTTTCAAACGCGTTTCACAGCTGGAGGAAGCACGTCAGATTCATTCTCGTCTTGAGAAGGAGTTCAGCTGCAAGAGCGAGGAGACGGCGCAGGTGGTGCGGAAGCACCAGGAGCTGCTGGAGCACCTGGACGCGGAGAGCGCAGCCAAGGCCCGGCTCGAGCTGGCGCTGCACACGGCAGAGGGTGAGCCGGGCCTGCCTGCTGGGGACGCGCGTCGTGCTGGGGTCTCAACAGCAAGGGCGTCGGCCACCTTCCTGGGGTCGCACCGCCGCCCCGACCCCGCGCGCCTGGTGCCTGGCGCTCGCTCACGATGGCCGCGTGCGCGGGGCCCTCGTCTTGCCCGCCGCTCCTGTGCCTCGCGGGGAGGGTGGTCCGGTGCCGCCCCTGGGGGAACAGGACGCCCCGCCCCCGCCCCCGGGGCCTTACAGCGGCCTCCCGCGTGGACCGCAGGCATCGTCGAGGGCTTCACAGAGGAGAGGGCCGGCCTGCAGGAGGCGCTGAGCCGGAAGGAGGCGATTGAGCAGGGCCTGGTGGCCGAGCTGGAGGGCCTGAGGCAGCAGCTGCAGTGTGCGGCCCGGCGGCAGGCGGAGCTGCAGGAGGAGAGCTCCGTGCTGCGGGGCCAGAAGGCAGCCTTGGCTGTGGAAGCCGGAGAGAGGGAGGCCGGTAAGGAGGCCGAGCTGCGGCGGGGGCGCGGGCAGAGCCGGGCTGGCTCGGACGCGAGGCTTTGAGGGCAGAGAGGACAAGGTTGCTGGCTCGCGGGGCTGCATGTGGCTTGAGGGCAGCTGCGGTGGCTGATTGTGCTGTAGGAAAGGCTGCCGACTCCGAGGCCGGGTCGCCTGGCCAGGGGGTCGCCCACCTGTGTGTGGCCGTCAGCCTCGGCATCCTGGAGGCAGCGGTCCAGCAGGGAGTGTCTGTTTGGGATCAAAGAATTGCAGTTTGGAGCGCGCAGATTCGGGTCCCGCTAGGCAATAGAAACAGTCGGGGCTTTTGAGGGTGAGGACGGGGTGGGGGGGTGGTTGGCCTACAGAGAATTTAATTGGAGTCAGAGGCAGAAGCCAGTCTGGGCTGAACGTGCCTGAGGGCTGAGGCCGGCACGAGGGAGAAGGCGGCCCGCTACGGGGACGGGAGCAGGTGCGGTTCTTGCTGCGCCCCTGGAATCTCTGAGCTTCGGCCCAGGTCCCAAGTTCACGGCTCCCCTCGCTGGGGCCCGGCTTGAGTTCCACTCCTTAATGACCCCCAGGCTCTGTGTTAAAGCCCCTTGACATGCTGACTCTGCTTTGTTTCACATTTCACAAGATAAATAGCCAAGAATGTGAAAAAAAATGAGGGCTACTTAAGAATATTCTTTAAAATTACCAGAAAAGTGTCTGTTAACCTTAGCTAGGAAGACATACGGTTTTTGTTTTTGTTTTTTTTTAAACATCTGTATTGGAGTATAATTGCTTTACTGACATACAGTTTTAACAAAAGCAGGTCATTATAGTTTCAGATTCTTAGAAATTTTAGATCTTAAAATATTTAACGGTAAAACATAAAAAGCTTAAAATGTGGAGCTTGTGGGCAGTGGCGACGGTGGGGGGCAGCCAGTCTGTGAGAATTGATTGCGCGAGTCCAGGGCCTGTCTGGGGCGGCGCCTGCGCTCCGCCCGCCCGAGGGCCCGCCTTCCTCTCCCTGTGGCCCCCATGGCCCGGCCCCCGGGCACGCACGAGTCCGGCCAGGCCCACCTCTCTGCTGCCCCCACCGCACAGCAAAGGCGTCAGCAACCTTCTGACTTTCAGGCGCTCCTGCTGAGCCACCACCCCAAGCAACTCAGAAAACTCATTTCTCTTCCTCCAGTTCTTCTTTTTAATTTTCTGATTAATAAACAGTTGTCTGTTTAGTTTCTGCCCTCGTCTTCGGTACCTCTTCTGGGCGAGACGCATGTTCACGCTCCCACGGCTCTTGAGTGGATGTGTGGGTCCGACGGGCTTGCAGGCTCTTGAAGCAAAGAGTGATTTGTGCCATCGTCTTGGTTCCCATCCGCGCGGGTTATTAAAACTATTTACAGTCGTCTCCAGACTTCATCATCTTGTTTAGCTTTAACATACATAACATTCTTTTGTCTCTTTTCCATTTTTTTTTTTCTTTTCCATTTTTTGATGTGAACTTCTGATGGTAAAAAATTAACCTGCTTTCTTTTTTCCCTCCTTTGCTTTGTCTTTTTTTATACTTGAACTGTGTCTAATGGATGTTGTGCTAATTGAGAGCGGACCCGTGGCATCTTCTCAGTTCTGTGTCTGCGGTGAGTCTGTTCCCGTGTCTGCTCGGGGCTTCCTAGGACTTGCTCCCCACCACCTCGAGCTGGGGCAGGGCCGTCCCCTGCTGACTGTGCCACCTTCCGCTTTGCTTGTATGCTTGCTTCTTCCTCATTCAGGTCGTGTCCTTGGTCCCCAGCACAGAAACTTGTCCCGCTTTCCCCTCTCTGCTCGGCCCCCAGGGACAGAGGTGTGTATGAGCACATGAGCACGTGTGCGCTGTCTGTCCATGCCATGTGCACGGTGCTCCCTAAATGGCAGTAAGATGTGGGTTGTTTTCTCCACGGCTCCCTGCAGACTGGACGCTTTCAGAGAAGGACAGTGAGGGAAACTTTCCAAGACCTCGAGTGCCTAAAAGTTACCTTATTTCAACCTCATCCTTAAATGAAGCAGTAGCTGGAAAGGCACAATTCTAGATTTGGTTTCTTTTACTCGAATACTTTGAGACTAAAAACCATTGTTTTCTTGCATCCGGACACCTGCTGGCACATCTGATGGTGTTTCTTTGGAGGTGTTTTTAGAAGATTATCTTTGCTCGGATGTTCACACGTCCCGGAACCGTATCTGGAGTGGTTTCCCATGCCTGCCCTGCTCTGCCGGCGGCCGGGCGTTTGTTACATCTGGGGCTTCGTTGTCATTACTTCTTGGCCGATGTCTCTTCCGTGTGCACACTTTGCTGTCCCCAGACGCCCTGGGCCACACGTCCCAGTGGGGTAGTGTCCTGGCTGGGCCCCCCCCCCC